AATATATATATATATATATATATATATTCTCTACGCTTAACCATTGAGGAGATACACAGCACGACAGACAGACATTTATATATATGTAGATAATATTGTTTAGATAACTGTCTTTTAAATTCTTATTTGTTATTTTGAATAATCATGGTACTGAGATCGTTATCCTTAATGGTTTTAAGAAATAAAGCCAAAACTAGTAATATTTCCATTTCTTATTCTTGAGCTTGTGTGATTTTTTACTGCACGCGTTGTTAATAGTGTACAGGTTTATAAGCGTTTTTTCTGTGTCGTATAATCTCCACAACATCAATAGTGTATTTTTAAATCTTAAAATCTTGAGAGCATCAGTGTATTTTTGTTTCATAAATTCCTTATCCAAAGAAAGATGTACTTGACAAGATGTTTTTAAGTTTGAAGCGCAAATACACTATTGCAGTATTTATATCGTTACCGTGCATTTCTCTAATCTCTGTAAGCTCTTTGTTTATGTAATTTTTTTTCCTATCATATTTTATAAGCAAGAGACAATTGATGAAGTTTGGTTATGGATGCTTCTCAATTAGAAAAAAAACACACATAAATTTGTCAATTAATTTATGTTTATTATTTTATATTTATAATTAGACATACCAGAAGAAAAACCAGTAATTGAGGGAGCTAAGCAAGCTTATCAGATCGGTGACGAAGTGAACGTCACTTGTTTCTCATTGTCCTCCAAGCCTATTGCAAGTCTACAATGGATTATCAACGGGAAAACAGTACGTATTCCATTCCTCAGTGATGGTTTAACACTCTATTGCACAACTTATGAAAATATGGTAGAAAAATGTTTTCTGTAATCTTCTTTAAAATGTTTGTGTGAAATGTTGTTTAGTAAATTATAAATACGCACATTACCTAGAAGTAACATTGTTCAATACACGAATCAACAAAAATGATTTTATGGTTTATTTAGACCATTACTTACAGTAGAAAATGAGCATTCAACTACAAAATTGACGCATTTGTTATGTGTTATAAGAAGGGCCAATTAGAGGGGACCCAGAAGGGCCATTGGCCCCAAGCTCAAAGGGGCCTCAAATTTAGGCACTTGTTTTTTTTTTTGCATTTGTTAGCTTTTGTGACTTGTTTTTATGTGCCTCCCAACCAGACTAAAATGTGATACATACTCTCAGCGTAGATATACAAATTGCATATTCAAATTATTTTTCACTTTTCGTCTGGGCTAATGATTGTCTTATTTGGTTTTCATATCTCATCATTTTTTTTATATTATATTCAGGGGCTTCAAAAGGTAGAAATGGCCCTGGCCTATCTGAACCTCTGAGAGTTCCTGATTATAAGCGACAACAATAGATTTCTTACCTGTATGCAACAATACGGAATAGAGGGTTAAACTAATTTATTTAAACTTGATTTTTCGGAAAAAAGCTATCATGAAACACATCCCAAGTCAATGAAGCATGTCACAAATATAGCAATACCAGAACTTAAAAACACGTAAAGCAATGTTCTGTTTTGATTTGCTACTGGCTCCCATGCAGTTTATAAAGGTAACAGTGTCTCAAGCTTCCACTTCCGTCAGTATGTTTGTGTAATAATGATCTGCTCACTTATTATTCCAGTTCATATATGTAACAGTGGGCGAAGCGTCTTCTCATATCTGTATATATATGTGTAACTTCTGCTCACTTATTATTCCAGGCTAGTCCCCCGGTGGTACAGCTGTAAGTTTACGGACTTATAATGATAAAATCCAGGGTTTCATTCCCCGTGGTATAGACGGTATATTTGCTTTATTGTCCTGTAGCTACAAGTTAAGTTATTTATTATATTTGTAGTATTGTCTTTATGTAGCTACTGGTTATATTATTTGGTGTATTTGTACTATTATCCTTGAGTAGCTACTGGTTACGTTCTGTAGTATAGTTGTTGTACTGTCCTTCTATAGTTACTTCATGGTTTGTTATTTAGTATATTTGTAGTGTTGTCCTTTTGTAGCTACTGGTTATGTTCTGTAGTATATTTGTTGTACTGTCCTTCTATAACTACTTCATGGTTTGTTATTTAGTATATTTGTAGTGTTGTCCTTTTGTAGCTACTGGTTATGTTCTGTAGTATATTTGTTGTACTGTCCTTCTATAACTACTTCATGGTTTGTTATTAAGTATATTTGTAGTGTTGTCCTTTTGTAGCTACT